TCAGGCCGGGGGTGTGGCCAGACCCGGACTTCCGGTCCCGCCAGCGCCCTCTGCTGCGCAGCGGCGCCGTTGCCATGGGGACGGGCGCGGCCTGGTGGGCTCGGGCCCGGGCCCGGGCCCAGGCCCAGGCCGGCAGCCCGCGGGGGAGGGCAGAAGCAGCAGCCGTAGTCAAAGGCAGAAGTGAGGGTAACGGCCCGTGAGCGGGGCATGCGGTGGGTTCAAGGCGCTGCGCCCCCGGCTCTTGCCTCATCCCCGAGGCAGCGTGTTAAACCCTGGACACTCCCTGTGCAGGTGAGGGCAAGCACAGTGCCAGCAGGGCCTCCTGTACCCGGGCTGTGCGCTGTGTCCCGTCTACCCGGGTAAAGGAGCTTTTGCCTTAAAACCACCTGAGGATGGTGTATTGCGATAGGGCTTCCAAAATGGCTGCATTTGCGGGAGTCTCCTTTGTATCAGTGGGCAGGTTTAGTTGCAACAGGTAAAAAACTCTTACAGCCTGAGAGGCCTGCCCAGTCCTCTCTGGGGTGTTGCTTCCACTACAGCACAGCGGCTGAGCGGGATGCGTTCCCACTCTGAGCCTTCATGCCCACCAGCCATGGCATGAATGGAGGCTGAGCGTGGTTTGTAACACTGGGCCGTAACCTGCGGTGGTTCAGGAGCGGTGGGACTGGGCTGCCGTGGCCATGGGGGGTCAGTCTGCGTGCAGAGTCAGTGTGGGCAGCGCTGATCAGCGCTGCCTGTCCTGGAGAGGAGTGTGCTGACTGTGTGAGAAAGCTCCAGTAGAAAGGGTAGAACGTGGATTGTAAGACCTGCTCTGTTCTAGCTTCTCGCATTCATGCGGAGATACAGAAAATTGAAATTGAGCCTTCTCCTCCACAAAGAAAAAGCAGTTCTCAGTGATATCTGGGTTTTTTTTAATCATCAGAGTATGCGGTGCATTTGATCCCCAGAAACTTCTCAAGGGCAATTAAAGCGAGTCAGACTGTGGGAGCGTTTGTTGCATTGAACCTTATATTTCTCTTTTTACCCAGCTGAGTCAGAAGAACTGCTTAGTGAAGAATCTGAAGAGGTTTCAGAAGCAGTTAGAAAGAGAAGCAGGAAAGTTTGAGACAACAAAATGTGCCTTTATTCTGAAGACCTTCAAAATGCTTTCAGAGTACCATTTGTTTGTGGAAGAATTTTGCAAGAATCCTGGCATCACTTGGTTTATGAAACCGGTAAGTATTTGCTCTCCCAGGGAAAGTGAGACAGAGATGAATGGATGCCTTCGTTCTGCAGAGGGAGAGGAAAATATGCAGGAAATCCGCAGGAAGAACTGGGCAGAGCAAGGTGGCTAGGAGCAGCAGTGCTCCTTGCCAGTTTCCTGGTCAACATGTACTACCAAAACACTTCTTCTTGTGTAACAACTTACTTCAGCAGTCGAAAGACAGCTCAGTTTATTTGTAGAGCCAAAGTTAACTCAGTGGTGAAGGTATAAAGTGCAGAGTTCTTGTGTGGAGGAACAGATTGTGCTCCCAGGAGTTCTCGCTGTGAGGTTATGGCCGAGTGCATGCTCTGAAATCTTTCAGTTCGGCTGCAGGTGTGCAAGAAGGTGGTGTGTGTGTGTGTGCAGCACAGCTGTCTAATTGGGCAGCCCCTAAAGATGGAGCTATGAAAACATCTGTTTGGTTTTAGGGAAATCCCACTATGTTAGATGTCAGCCCGTGTAAGTCCAGTCAATTGACTGAGAAGTCTTCCATCCTGAGAATGCGAAGAGATTACAGGATACTCCATGAGCAGCCTGGAGCATAAGTTGGGGTGGATTTGGTTGGCATTAGCTTCTCTCTGCTCTGCAGTTAGAGACCTGAAGGGTAGCCTCATGCTCTGAATCACATTTGTCCCCCCAAACCTACAGCTGCCTGGAGCTGTGCTGAATGCAACTTCCACTTCAGCCAGTGTCCTGGGTACCAAGGAAAAATTGTGTTTCCTTTAGAAATTACAACAATACAATGTGATGCTGAGAAATGCCTTGCTTCTGCCAGATGATTCAAGTCATTTAAAATGAGTATCATGCCATGGTGCATAATTAAAAATACACCCATTTGAGAGACCTGCAAGCGAGCAGTCACTTTGCTTTGCGCAGCAGGTCTGTCAAGGAGGCTGGGACAGGAGGATTTGTCTTACGCTGCAAGTCAGGCCCATCGGTAAGGGCACACTTGTGAGAAGTGAATGGGAGGTAATTACGCAAAATAGCATGTGAATTACAGCCAGGAGGATAGCAGCTAGTGATTACCTAACTCTACAAATGGGAACGTGTTAATTGGCAACAAAAAAACCTTACATTAAGCTGATTTTATGCCCACAACCTCAATTAACTTGGTAAATAACCAGAACACAGTAAACAAGGATGTATGAAAAGCCTGTGATTACTGAGATTATACTAACAACTTAAATGAAATAGTTTGTGGGTGACCTCAAAACTCGCAGGCAAGTAAAAATAAACTCCCTGTTACTCCTTCTGTTGGTCTGTGCTCCTGAGCAGCCCCATGTTGTGACGTCTCAGGTTGCCTACTCCCACACTCAGATGCAGTAGTAGGTCAGGCTGTGCACAGTGCCACATCCTGGAGCTGCAGGAGCCTGGACCTCCTTGGGAAGGTGCCATGAGGAGCCTTGCTTCTTGGGTGGCTTATCTGGGCCACTCGTCACCCACTTTTAATACATCATGCAGCCTAGGCTGTCTTCAGGATTGTTCTGCTCTTCCTTGCCATAGTTCTCTGAAATCTTTCATGATTTTCCTGCTTAATTAAGTTCTTCTGTAACGTACACAAATTTAAAATGTGACTTAACAAAATTCCCAACACCATATGTTGCGTTACTTATATTTCTGCAAGCATGTGACAGGGTTTGTTTATTTGGTACTGTGGAACTTCCCCATTGGCTGGCTGCCTGCTCTGCCCTTTCCTCCAAGAATCCTCCTAACACTTGCAAATCTGAGCTTTTTGCACTAGAGAGCTGCTGTTGTATCCCCTTCCCCCCCATAACCTTAAATAAATGTGCTTGCATACAAACAGATGATGAATCAGGTTATGCAGGGCTTCTATGCTGAAATTCTGGGAAACTGCAGGAAATGCTAACGTTAAAGCCAGTAAATCTGCTCTTCCATATGTAGGTTGGCAGGTCACATGGTGAAGGAATTTTCCTGTTCTGAAAACTGAAGGATATTGTTGATTGAAGAAGGTGAGAACCACTCTCTGTCTTCTCTTTGGGGAATATCCAAGAGACATTTTGTTCCTTTGCTCTTATTTCATCCTCTTATTCTGCTGGTGACTTGTTCTGTTCTCCTGTGCCTGTGTCACGCCATAATCCTTCACCGTTCCTCAGGGCAACAACATAGTTTTTTTACAGTGGATTTTCCGAAATGGTCAGATACTTTATCTGGGATCTGACTTCTTACACTTTGTGCATGTATTTATATATAAACTTCTGATCTTGGGTACATCTAACACTAAGCAGCAATATCAGCAGCTGGGTAATACTATACATTTCTCTGCACTTCATGGGTCGAAAGTTTGACTTGAGAGTTTATGTTCTAGAGACATCTGTAAGTGCAAACCACCATTATTATGCTAGAAATGGACTTCCTTGCCTTAATGTCCAGTTGCTCCTTTCCTCTTCTCCCAGTACATCCCACTGAAGGCCTGGTTATACAGAGGTGGATTTGCTTGCTTTTCTAATACACGATTTACTCTGAATAGCAGAGATGATCGCTGTATCCTACCTGTCTCTATGTGCCACAAAGAAGGGTAAGAAAAGAACTGTACAATTCTACTGCTTGGTATTAGTTGCATCAGACAAACCTTGTCACTTCTGACTCCTGCAAACACCTGTAGGATTCGGCTGTCCTATTGCTGCCGCTGTCACCCTGCCTCTCTCCAGTCTTTTTTCATTGGAAAACTGGTGTCACCAGATCACTGGAAATGTCAGTTTGAAAAATCAGCTAGGACTGAAGCTGAAATGTCAGTCCTGGTTTTATTGTTAGTGGTTGAATTTTGGCAGCCTTTCTTCTTCCTTAGCTTCACAGAACGTAAGGGCAGGGTGATTTCATGGGAGAGAACTATTTGATTTCCTATGTGTCGCACTTGCTACTGTATTGAGTTTGATAGCTTTCATTTGATTAACGCATCTTCCCAAAAGGTATCCCACCTCAATTTGATGGCTCAGGAGACAGGAAAATCCATCACTTCTCTCCGTGAAAGTTCAGCACAGTTCATGCTTGCTCTGAACAATCAAAAGCCTTTCCAGAGTAGGGGTACAGCAAGCTGCCTTGGGTGAAGGTGTGCTGGGGTTTGGAGACATGGTGACATGAAAAGCTTCATGCCAGCCATGAGGTACAGTACTAGCTCAGGGCAGTCACTCTTTCATTTTCTAGATACCCCTCTTGATTACTTCTGACTTTTATTTTCTTTCCTGCAATTTTAGTAAGGTATCATCATGCAGTGTTGGATTTAAGCTTAGGTGGCTGAAGCCTGTGATTAGACAGGGAAGATAATTAATTGGCACTGGGGCAGAAGAGGACTGTTCAGAGTGAGAATTCCATATTTGCTTGTTCAATGTCTATTTGTCTGCGATCCTTATCTCTACTTTGTTCCAGATGTTCATCTCACAAATGTGGCAGTGCAAAAGACTGCACCTGATTATGATCCCAGGAAGGTGAGGGGTACTCACTGTCTGCAGACTATTCCCCCACTGCCTGCCATTGGGGCTCTTCTGGCAGATGCAAGCAAGCTGACCTCATCCTGCCAGCTGCCATGCCGTGGCTGTGTGCTTCAGCCACTTAACTGTGCTGTCTTGTCTCCTGATACCCATAAATGCAATTTCCTTGATAGCAGATTTAGGAGAGAGGCTGGGCGAGCGTTCTGCTTTAATGTTGCTTTGCAGCTGTCTGTGCATCTATAAGGCTGATCTTTTTGACTTTAAACCTAATAACTTTCTGGTTAGCACCCTTCTGAGATGTAGACATCTTATAGCTTAGCCCTTCGCTTCTAAGACCTCAGTGATACAGCAAGGTTGACATTGCTGCACACAACTGTCACTGTTAAGCTTCCTCTCTCAAGAGGTGGCAGCTGAGAGAAAATTGGGATGTCAGATTGCTCATGAATCTGAGATGAGGGTCAATGTTTGAGAGTAATGGAGGATGGTGTTGAACTTCCAATTTTATGGGCTGCTCCTTTCTATAAATCTCCCTTGTTTGTAGGGAAAGGAGGGTCTTTGCAGTACCCTGATAGAAGAGAGGATGTTGATTGCTGTTAGGGAACTTTTGATGGGGACCTGGGGACCTTTTTTTCCCTATAGCTGTACAGTAGTCAAGCCTGAAGAGTTTAACTGCATTGTGGGGTTGGTGGCCCCTATCTTCTGGTCTCTGGCTTTTTACTAAGAATTTTTTTTTACTGGGCTGTGGAGACTATAGGGTGATGTTTGAAAAAAATCATGTGGGCTAAATGTGTGGTCATCTGTTGGGATTGGCTTCGTATAATTGTGTTTGGATGTCTCAGGGCTGCAAGCTGGTGACTGACCATCTTGGACAGTGCTCGACCGCCAGGTGTGGGGCAGGGTCAGTGGAAGTTCTCTTTGCGGATATGGACAACACTTACATCCACAGCCTCCAGAGTGTTCAGAAGATGATTAGCAGTGACAAACACTGCTTTGAGCTCTACAGCTATGACATCCTGATCCGTCAGGATCTGAAACCATAAGGGTGTTAATAAACATACCAGGGGTTATAGCGTTAGGCCAGCTGCTTTCCCTGGGACAGGGGTGTCCCATGATGCTTCTGCATCTTGTTGGTAAGTGCTTGCAGGCTGGCTGGGAGTGAGCCAGCCTAGAGCTGCAAGTGAAGTGTAGAGAGGTTTGAACTGGTTTACATGAAGGGAGCTGCCATCTGGAAGGTTGCAGCTGCTCTTGCTCTGAGTATCAGGGTTTATTAGCTGGGTGCAGCACCCTGTAACTTTGTCTGTAGGATCTCTAGCCCTTTGTTGTGAAACCCTGCCAATTTGGCTATTTCTGGAATATGCTCCCCTCCAAGTATAAGCATATCACAAGTGTCACAGCACTTGCCAGAGATGGAGGGTTACTATCTTCTCTTGTTCTGCTTATATATCTTACAGCACTGTCCCATCAGCACTGATAAACCTCCAGCCGGTGCCATTTGGCTGCCAGCGCTAAACATAACCCGTATCTGTGGTACACTGGCTAAAAGGCAGACCCCAACTGAAAGAGGTCCTTCCTGCTAATTGCAGAGAAAAGCACTCCACAGGAGCTGAGGGTATTTTAAATGGCAGCAACAAAAAACCCCAAATCTTTAAAACATAATTTGAGTCTAGATTTTTTTTTTTAAATAAATGTTTTCTCACTGGCTAAGTGAAAAATATGTATCATTAAAGTTCAGCTGAAATTCTCAGAATTTTATCTGCTACAGATGCAATCCAAGTATTGCAACAGCAGGAACCTGAGAGCGCAACTGACTTGTCATTACAGGAGTTGAGAAAAACAGAAACAGCAAATAGTACTTCAGAAATGACAAGCAAATAGGATTATTATTCTTTCAGCCTTAATCACGTAAAGTGCAAGCAGTACCATAGATAAGGAAATTTCCCTTAGATATGATTTATGTTGTCAGTGCTCTCCTACGAAATGTCTTCTCTAATTTATTTTTTTTAACTCTTCTCTCTAACAAGACATGGTAGCTGGTATACCTGTTACAGCCCTGTGTCCTGTCAGCTTCAGCCCAATATTTCATGTGGTGCCACTGGGGACAGCTTTATTTCAAGTGAGCAAATAAATGCAGCTCAGCTGTGGTCCTGGATAGCTCTGATTTGCACAATCTACTCTGTTCATAGCCTCAAACCAAATTACTGCTTAGGCAGCCTGCACGTAAAGAGCTGGAGTAACTTTGGTTGGTCAGGAAACAAATGAATTGGAATGAAAGTCCTTGATGTTGTCGCAGCGCTCAGATAGCGCTGCTGGGCTCTCATAGGAGAGCTATTTGAACACTGAGTTGTGCTAGGAAACTGTTCCCAGGAGACATCCACATTCCGCCACTAAAAAAGGGTTAATGCTCATTCTGCGAATTCTCCTCAGCATTTACTGCTTCAGCTAGACTTTAGTTTTCACTTGTATGTCTTTCTGGAAGCTAGAGGGATTTTTTTTCTTTAGTACCATCGAGAACAGGAATAGAAACTTTGCAATAAGCTCAGAATGTTCTTTGGCTCAGTGCATGGGAAAGAGATTTAGGGTTGGATTTCCTATTGCTTCACACTTACTCCTGCCTGCTAGCAGGGTAATGATTTTGTGGACAGGCATTTCTCTTAAATGAACCACTGGCAAAACTGCCTGTTTCTCCTTAATTTACTGTTGTATCTCCTCAGCTGGCTTCTGGAGGTAAATGCTTCACCTTCCCTCACTGCCAGTAGCCAGGAAGACTCTGAACTCAAGTGTCATTTTCTCAAAGACACACTTCATATTGTGGACAGGGAGAGCAGGCGGGTGAAGATGTTTATTACCTTCTAAGGGCTTTTAATAAAATGTTTGGAATGGACGGTCTGGTTCCATGTCTTTCTTGGCAATTGATCATAATACTCTAACCTTTCTGGTGATTAAATGATGAATTTCCAGAAACAGAGCAAAGTAAGCAAGCATGCTGCCATTTCAGAGTGGCAAAACAAAGCAGCACAGGGCTGCAAAGGGACTGGAGTCTGTGTCAGAGCTGGGACTTGCACAAGAGCTCCTTCAGAGGCCCTTCTGCATTGTGCCTCCCACACTTATGGCTTCTGGAGTGCTCTGTTCCAAGCAGCTTGTCTTGCAGCATTTTGTGATTGACTTTGCAACTGTGCTAACCTCAGATATTAATAGTAGAAAGACATCCACTGCTTTCAGCTGTTCAGCTTTGTCTCTGATTGTCTGGGAGTTTATTCCTGTGCGCAGACAGATAATTGTCATTGCTCAGGTACTTCAGTACGTGTATTTGATGTTGTACACTGACGGGGAAGGAGAAGCGTGTTGGAGGCTTTGACCTGATATGGAATGACAGGCCTGTCAGCAGAGGGGGAGACCTGGGTGCTCTGGTGAATGAGAACGTCAAGGCAAACACACGTTTAGGTGCGTACTCATCCAGTGCTGGCAGGGCGCCCCGTTCGCGTCCCTAAGCTATCTGCACATCAGCAAGAGGAGAGCACACACCTTTCACTCAGGAGCAAAATAATAAGAATGGGTGTGTGAGGTCTTATGGGATTAAGAGACCAAAAGGAGCAAATGCTTTCCAAAAGTGGATGTAAGTGACCAAGCTGCAGAAGCACTGTTGAAAACAAGCGTGTATATGTAGTGGGAACAGCTTTGTTCACAGTCCTGCTTTTCAAGCATTAAGTCACAGCAGAGTTCTTCATATGCCAGCTTTGCTGCAAAAATGGCTCTACAGTCACTGTGGTGACTATTTACTGGGCGCTTTCCTGAAGCTAGTTGTGTATTTTACTGTTGGGAAGTAGTACTCGGATTCTGAAGTCTTACTTCCGAGACGCTGACTTGTATTGTAACTTTATTTTACAGTACGCAGCTCAGTGTGCCTACAATCATCTCTGGCTGTAGCTCCTAACTAACAAAACACGAGTACAGCTTCACCTGAAAGTGGGACATCACCTCACCTCTACAGGAAGGAAGAGTAAGGTGATGTGTAACTAACTCCCCTGTTAACGTTTTCATTGCAGGCTGCTACAATGGCAGGAAGAAACAACTGAAGCAGCTTTTCAGGAATCTTCCTGCACAGCAGAAAGTGTAATGCTGATCCCAAGCTTGGGATGGGAGAGGTCACCGTGGCTGAAGTTCACTCTTCCATACATTGGGCAGTAGCAGTTCCCATTTCTGTCTGGACACTGCTGGCTCAGCACAAGACACTGGCCTTCTTGCTTCTGAACGTTTCCTGGCTTGGAAGCTGCAATGGGCTTGAATGAGATTATTTCATAATGGCTGACACAAGGGATGCTGGCTTCTCAGCTGTCCATCTGCACTCGTGCTTAGTTCTGTACTGTGCACAAAAATAAGAGGGGCTAAACACATTCTGCACAGCAAAACAAAGCTTTTGGGGAAGGCAGGCACCTGATCGTCCTACTGCTACTACTATGGAAACATGTCAAGAGCAGAAAACCTGTTGCCATGATACTGTAAAAATAACCTCGCCATCACATGTTATGGAGAGGCTGACTGGCTGTACTACACAGGTTATGTAAGAGTGCGGCTCCAACACAGGGACTTGGCACTGTGTACTGCCGCTTGCTTCCAGAAGAGATGCAATTTTCTGAAAAAGCTACGGGCAAGAGCGTTCAGGTAATAAAGTCAATGTTATTTTTAATCATTGTATCTGGAACTCAAGCCTGAAGTGGACAGCCTCGCTTCTTGCAGTTGTACATTTAGAGTATGTGGTGTTGGCTACAGAATGTTAAAACTTAGGTCAAGCAATGGTAGTTAGCTTTTTAGATTTAAAGAAATCACACCTCAGTTTTAAGGAGTCTGAAACAGACTATTTTTGGAACTCTGCAGAATTTGACGCGTGTGTGGAACTGGACAAGGCAGCACAGGGCTGCCTGGAGGAGGCACCTCTGGCCTGTTAACCTGGAAGGCGGTCAGGGAGCCAGGAAACCGGCGGAGCTGCGCTTAAAGTTCTGCATAGCTGTGCAGAAGGGAAGAGAGCAAGGGAAGGGGCCCAGCTCTGTGTTACACATGCGTGGTTAACAGAACGGGTGAGCTACCTCGAGGGCTGGAGAAAGACGGTCAACTGCCTTGTTTAAAGATTTAAATTTTAGCCAGAAATATCTTTACAAAAGTTCAAAAAAGAAAGGGCTCAACAGGACCCAGACGCTTTTCTGTACACAGGAAAAAAAAATAAATATCAAACTCACTACAGTCCATTACTAATCACAATTAATTTTTTAAAATCTTCTTATGGTTTTAACCAAGTTGTGCTGGGGTAGCAAGTTCAGACTAAAGTGTAGAAGACAATAAATTTTAAAACCTTTGAAGAAACTATTGCTGGTTAAATCAATTGTCCTTTTACTACAAGACAGACTCAGTGACTATCCCTGCTCTGTCCTCTTCAGGTTGCTTTTTTAAATATACATACATTTTATCCCTTCATCTAGTTTTGAAAGACTTGTTTCTGCGGTCTCTTGCCTTCCAACTTAACAGTAGAAAATGTTTTCCCAGCGAGACTAAAAGGATGCTGCCTTCTCCTGTCCCTCCCTACACATCTTTAAAGACATTCCTGTCGTGCTTCAGATGCATAGCTTTGCTTTGTTTTAATACCACAGACGTGCACAACTCCTCTTCTGTGCTTCGAGCACGCCGTGGATTCCCAATTCCTCCTACTCCTGTTCCCGACACCAACAATGAACCAGCTCTGAAGCCAGTCTCCAGAAGCGCTCACAGAAAAACCCAACAAGGAACATACACACGGAGTTAGGAGTGCCCCGCTGCTCTGATTTTAATAACCACACTTCCTCCCCGGCCACCGGCATTTGCCCAGCGCTGTGTCCCAGCCCGTGCCTGGGCGCAGCTCTGCCACCCAGGCTGCAGTAAGGAGCGGGAAAGGGTTGGTGATCCAAGGAAACTGCAGCATCGTAGCTGAGGAGCCAAACCCTCCCCAGCGCCTGCCAGGGACCTCACCCGAGGCAGGCTCCGGGCACGCTGATGTCCTCCTCCAAACCCCAAAGGCTACGACTATTGCAGCGTGAGCTCCACGGGTGACAGCCCGAATACACGCCGTGATGATGGCACAGCCACCTCACCCCTCCAGGATGCGATTGATTAGCTTCATTTCCTCGGCGGTCATGGGGTTCAGGTTAAATCCCTTCAGCTCAGCTTTACCTGAGAGAACACACAGAAAAAAAATCAGTATTTTGCCACACAGTAAGAGAAGCGGTCCATGTTAAACTTTAGAGGCAGTGTGGTGAAGGCAGGGACAGCCCTGGAACCTGATGTGGGGTCACCCCGGCGTGATGCAGGAGCCCGTTGAGCGTGCTGGTGGGTGACAGCTCCGCAGCAGGAGCCGCAAAATACTGCTGGAGCAGGGACAGAATTGTGAAGCCAGCGGGAAAGCAGCTGCAGGAACATGCAGAGCTCAGGAGTTTCTGGACCCTCCCAACAGTCCACGTCTGCTCCCAGAGACTGAGAAGATTCCAGAACAGGAGTGTTTACCTTGAGCTTCGAAGAGGCGGTTCACCTTCACGCGCAGCTCTTTCCGGAGGTTGTTTATCTCCTCATCCAGATGTTCCTGGTCTGAGACAAGCGGGACAGGAGTGAGGAGGACTGCGGGCTCTGGGGCACAGGCAGAACCTCCTGCGGGAGGCTTGCTGTGGAAGCCCAGGCCTGGGGAGGGGGCAGGAGAGGACCCTTCCCCAGCTACCTCGGGGGTCCCACCCAGCCCCCCCGCCACCCACAGGACTCAGCCCCAGGCTGTTTCATGCCCCAACATGCTTCCCAGGGCACTGCCCGGGAGAGCCAAGCGACAGCCAGAATCCACCTGTGACTGCTACTGAAAGGTTTTGGGCACTTCGAAGCCCAGCATTGGACAGAACCCAGCTTATTTTCCTAAAATCTTATTACGGTTAAGACTAGAGGTGAGCCGAGCCCGTCGGGCAGCCCGCCTTACCCTTCTGCAGCATCTCCTTGGTCTGTGGTTTCGGGAGCTCGATGAACATGTTCCCGAAGCAGACCATGGCCTTCTCTGCGCAGGGAGAGGAGGAAAAGGAAAAGCCTTTGGTCAGAGAAGTTTTTCTCCCGGCTAGGCAGCCGTTCCTCGGCCCGTGGGGCTCCCGGTGAGTGCAGCCGGCCGGGCCGGGGCTGAGACGGCACCGGGGAGACCGGACTTACCGTCGGGCTCCGGGTCGTTCTGCAGCGCCCGCAGGGCCTCGCGGTTCCGGTTCCGCTTCACATCCAGGTCCACGATCTACAGCGGGAGAGAGGCAGCCGGGGCTCGGGGCTACCGGCGGAGGCGGGGGGGGGGGGGCGCCGCCGGGACTACCGGGGAGCAGAAAGAGGGGGTAGCCGGGGGCGAAACCGGTCCGTTCCGTACCTGCTGCCGTGCCGCCAGCACGTCCTCGGCCAGCTCCTCCACCTCGGCCAGGTAACGCAGCACGAAGGCCGGGTCCCGCGCCATAGCGATACCGGGACACGGTCCGGTTCCGGTTCCGCCGCCGGTTTCCGCCGGGTGGCAGCCGCAGCCGCGCAAGGCGGGTTCCGCGGTGGGAGGGGCCGGCTCGGAGCGCGCCCCCTAGCGGCCGCCCCGGGTACTGCCGGGGCTCGGGGGACCCCCCCCCCGGGTTCGGGGACCCCCCCACCGTCCCCGTCCCGTTGCGGCCCGAATTAACGGGGGCTGCACGCGGCCGCGTGTCTAAAAACACGCGTGGCCGGGCTGGCAGGGAGGGGAGGGGGTCGGCAGCCAGCGGGCGTGGGAACGGGTGGGCGGGAGGGGATTAGCCATGAGTTGGGGGGGGGGACGGACACCCCGGGACTGGCTCCGGGACACCGGGACGGTCCCACGGGGACTCGCCGCCCGGCAGAAGGACGGGAGCGTTCGGTGTGGCTGAGGGACGCTGAGCCCCGGCACCTCCACCCCGGCGGCGGGGGGTCCCGGCCCCACAGCCAGCTCCAAACCCAGCTCCGCTCCCTGCAGCCCGGAGGGACTCTGGGGGTCCCCACGCGCGTGAATTATTTATGCTTCGTCACAACCCGCCCCCTCTCCCCCCTCCCCACCAGCACCGCGCTTCTGTCTGCCCCTCCTTGCCAGCTCGGTGCCGGTGTCAGGCAGCTGGGCTCCTCGGAGCATCAGGTTGCCTTTCTGTCCCCTCTTTTTCCCTAGAATGCAATAAAGAGCACTAAAAGCGAGGGGCGATGAGCTCAGATTTCATTTTGTGCAGCTGGCTGGCTCATCCAGAGCTCAGCAGGCCAGGGCCTGCCGTCCCCGGGGAGGGAAGCCGGCTGCTGTCCCTGTGGGTCGGCTTGCCCTCTGCCAGCCCTGGTGGCCCCCGGTCTGTGCCGGGCAGGAACCAGCTCTGGGGATGGTCGGAGCAGCCGTAAGGCTCTGCCAGGGCACTGTATCAGTCTTCTGCCCTCAGTGACCCTGCCTACAGGAAAGGAGAAATATCACCCCTCAAAATGGCTTTTATCCCCTTCTTTCCACCCCACCCAGCCCGTGAGAAAGAGGAGAGAGAGAAATGGGGTGTTGAAGATGCAGGGAGACCGAGCACTGATGGCAAGGACTGCCAGACCCTTGCCATGTGAGGAAAGGGTGCTGGGAGCCCACCCAGGGCTGGCAGGTAACAGGGGACATGGGTTTTGGTGTCCTATGTCCCTGCTCTGGGCAGAGCCCCAAAGCAGTGCTGCTCCTCCCTAGTGAAACTGCCTAGTTCCCGGCTGAGAATCGCCGGCCCGGCTCTCCTCCAGTCCAGGTACCGCACAGGTCCTGCTCCCTCTCCTCTTGCTTACTGGTAACAACATGCTGGACGCTTGCCTGGGGTTCTGCACTCTCCGGTTGCCCAGAAAGCGTTGACTGACCTTCAGCATGGCAGTGCCCAGCTGGGGCTGCTCCCTGGTCATAACCTCTGGCCGGTGCTGCTGGGTCCCTGCCGGCAGCACAGCTGGCCATGCCGTTACTGCCTCCCTGACAATGCCGCTCAGTGTCGCGTGATGACGGTGACACCGTTGCTTCGCTGTTGATGGTGGAGGGACCTCCAATCTGTCTTGGATTGGTGCTTTTACTGGAGGGAGCCCCAGTGACATCCCCGAGGCACTGAGCGCGGGCTGGGGGAGAGGAGAAGCATCAGTGGAGGGGGGGGGACCTGACCTGTTGGCTCATGCCCTTCACGGGACTCATCTTGGCGAGAAGCTCCCCAAAGGGTGCACGGTGACCCCCCATGCTGTGGCACCTCCAGGCTGCCGGAGACAGGGGTGGCCGTACGGGGACCACAGGGGTCAGGGATGGAGGGAGCGAGGTGTTGGCTGGCTGGTGGTCACCACAGTTCCGTGGGCAAATAATCCCTTAAGGGAGATTACCCAGATCGGAAGATTACTGGCCCTAATCCCATAAGGTCATTTGTTACAGTTAACTGGGGAGATCTCCTCCGTCTGTGGCAGTGTGTGCTAAAATAAGGTGGCTTCCAGGGGAGTGGTGGAAGCGAGCAGTAATGCACAGCATCCTGGCTGGGCTGGGAGTGATTCACACTCAGGTTGGATTTTTTCCTGACATCGACCAAAAGAGGCAGCGGGACTGGGGCTGGATGCCAATGCTGGAAAATGCTCCTTTTTTGGTGGGGGCGGCTGGCTGGAGATCTACAGACTGGATCGGGGGCCACCTGCTTCCCATCCACAGCGTCAGGGTTGGCTCCCATGGAGTCCAAGCGGGACAGGGGCACTGGGGTCGGCTGCAGAGTGGGATGCAGGACATGGGACAGGACATGAGATGCAGGATGCAGGACGTGGGTCTGCTTTTCTCCTGCAGCCTCACACTGTAGCATCCACTGTGGAGTGGTTGGCTTCACCTTTCTGCCAGGCATGAAGGCAGCATTTGATCCTTGTTGCTTTGATGGGATCAGAAGAGTGTCTGATTCTTGTGATGTGTGCTGGGACCCTAACCAGAGCTGGAGATCCATTTACCTCCCACGGGGACACATTTTTCAGACCAGTGACAAAAAGCTCAGTGGGCAGTGAAAGCCCCATCCGTCTGTCCTGCTGCACAGACACAGCCTCTTGAGACCAGAGTTTGGCTGCAGAGCTCAGAGCTGGAGGTCATGCTCGGGAAGCATGGCCTGGCTGGGTGGTGACCATCCCCTTCAGCGGGCTGGAAACCTTCTCCCGCCACCTCCACCAGCAGCCCTCGCACTGTCCAGCAAGGCAAGGAGGAGGGAGTGCGTCCAAAGTCGGTGTGGGAGGGATGGGGATGGGGACGGGGATGGGGATAGGGGTGGGATAGAGACAGGCTGCTCATGTCCTGGCAGCAGTGAAGGAAAGCACAGTGACTGTCTGGGGTTGCCAATGACAGTGCAATGAAGGCAGGGTTTTGCTGGGGATGTTGGGCTGCATGGAGGGGCAGGGGCTACTCTCCCCGGGAAGCGGGGGGCCCAGCTCAGCCGAAGTGTGGGGGAAGCTGCAGCTGAGTCTGCTGTGGCAGGAGGGATCGCAAAGCCACAGGCACCAGGAAAACATTTGCAGGGCAGCGAGCGGTGGCTGGTGCTGTGCTCTGTGGGCCTCTCCGCAGCCAAGCTCTGAGCCAGCCACAAATCATCACGGATTTCTTCTCCTGGAGCTAGTGCCAGGGGCAGTGCCTTTTGCTTGGAAGCTGGGCTCAGCCCTGGGGACCAGAGGTCCGTTTGAACCAGCTGCACGTTTATGTGCCCCCCTGGGAACCAGGCAGTCAGAGGGACCAGCCGCCCGCCCACTGCCGAGGGCTGCTTTGCTTAGCTGTGTATTTTGTTGTGGAAAGAGCAGGGTTTGGGTTCAGCATGTTCCTTTTTCTTCCTTGCAGCACTTTTATGTATGCAGCTAGAAACCCTCCCTGCCTGCTGACAGCTGCACGGGAAGGCTTCAGGGATGTTTATAGGTTTTTTTTCTCTCTCACTTTTCCCTGTGGCTGCTGGGGCCTGCTGTTAACATAAATCAGACTTCAAACCACAGTCTCCGTATTCTCAGGCTGTGGATGTTTAACTCCACTTTCAGAGGGTGCATTTCGGGGTCTGTGAAGGCAGGTGGGTCCGTCTCTCCTGGTGTCCGGGTCCCCTCTCCCTGGTGCTATGCCCGCCATCGTGGTGGCACCGGCTCTGCTCCATTGCCCAGCCAGGACAGAGACTCCCCAGGGATGGAGCCCAAACAGGGCTGGGGCTGGCCAGGTGTCGGGGGGGGCTCCGGCCAACGGAGCGTGTCACCCGAAGGGGCCCTGGCCGTGACCGTTGGTGGATGAAAGGCTCCTTTCTTTGGGCTCTGGGATGCTGCGAGCGTCCCCTCCCCCAGGCAGGCATTTGTCAAGGGGATCTGTCAGGAGCATCTCAAGGTTAGGTATTTAAGTCACATTACCCATGCTAATACATGCAGCAGTGGGAGAGCCTCGCCGAGGGCCTGACTCTGCTCCCTTGTGCTGACTAACACCCCCCCCAACTTGCTCCCTCGGTTTTGTGCACCAGGAACCCAGACTGACCCACAGTTTGAGCTGATCCCCCTTGCTGCTCTGCAAGGCGGAGTTTGGAAGTTGGCCACGTTTCCTGGGATAAAACACGCTCCCCCTCGCTGCGTGCTGCGGCGTGCTCACCGTGGGCCAGGCTCCAGCCACGCGCGTGGCTCCTCCGCAGGCAAATACACAGGGCTGAGCCTTGGGGGCTGAAATGCAGCGAGCCGGAGTCCATCCCTCTGGGCCAGGGGCAGCTGCCTGCATGTGATCACCCTCCCTGGAGACACGCTGCAAAGGAACAAAAAGCCCTTTCCGTCCCAGCAGCGCCGGGGATGCCAGCACAGTGCTGCTCCTCATGCATGGGGGGTACCAGCCCCTTGCACTACCGGCCAGGCCAGGGCGGCCTGGCTTTGCCAGATGCACTGCATCCAAACTCTGATGGGCAACGAACGGAGGAGAGATGGTGGGACAGAGCCAAGGAGCAGGGCAGCATCTGGGCACACGTGCATCCAAACCCCCGTGCCCCAGGTCCGCCCGGAGACCTTGGCACTTTGCCGGCTTGTGTGGTT